TTGAACAAAAAGGAAGAAAAATTGTCTCGATCGGGTTGACGGAGGTATTGTGGATGCTCTCGATGGTCGAGAGGGCGGCCGTTGAAAAAAGAATGTGACGCCTGCGTGATTCGAACACGCGCGTGCAGAGCACACCAACTTAGCAGGCTGGCTCCTTAACCACTCGGACAAAGCGCCAATTGATAATATACGGTCGGAAAATGATATATTTAGCCCCTGCCCCTTGGGTCTCAAGCACACTGGGACCGCCCGAGTGTGTCAAATCCGCCTCGGCGCCTGACCCACGGGAGCCCGGCCGAAACAATGGGGGAGGGATCTGGCTGCCCAAGAAACGGGTGTATTGGTAAAAGGGCAACATGCGCCCCCGCCCAGGCAAGAGGCACCAAAATGCCAGCCAGGCAGCAGGGGGTGTGCGTCTCCCCTCACAGCGGGGAAGACTCGGCAATCATGCGGAAAGGCGGCCGGGAACGGGCTGGACCAGGGCAATCCCTGCCGGTTCCTAGAAGAGCTCATACGCCGGCGGGTAGCGGACAGTCTTGATGGCCTTGAAGTAGTTCACCCACAGGTCCCAGCCGAGCTTCTCCAAGAGCTCGATGCGAGTCTGGTAGCTGTCCTTCGGCAGGTTGAACTCGTTCTGCCCGGCGCGGAACTTGCCGGTCGACTGGGAGAAGAGGCTGAAGGCCATGGCCGGCCGGTTGCGAGCCACATTCTCGAAGTGCACCAGCTTGTCGGCGTACTTCTTGTTGTCCTTGGCCGTGGTCGCCTGGTCCAGGCGGGCGAGGGTCTGCTCAAGAGCCTGCAGAGTATCCTGTTCAGCGGGGTAGGTGGGTGAGGGGGGGGGGGAGACAGCGGCGAGGCGGGAGACAGGCGCAGGGAGCACGAATCCCCCGGGCAAGAGAGACGTCAGCAGCGGTGGGGCAGCAACGGCCTGAAGCCGAGGGGGAGGGCCCGAAGGGAGGAGCATGGGAAAAAGAGGCCAGCCCGCGGCGCACCTTGTCATCACCAAGCTTGGACAGGGCCTCCGCCTGGAGGAGGAGCACGTCCACATACAGGGCGTGGATGGCGGTGAGGGCCTTGTCGGCCTCGGCGTCGACGGCCGTCGGCTTCAGGTCGCCGTTCTTGCGCCGGGCGCGGAAGAGCTCCAGCGCCGGAACATCGAACAGGGCCAGGATCTCGCCGGCGTCGGCCAGCAACTTCTTGTAGTCCTGTGGTGGGGGGGGGGCGCACGAGAGAGAGAGAGAGAGAGAGAGAGAGAGAACAGGGCGGAATGCGGGACCGGCATGTCAGGACACAGGGGCAAAGCCGGCCACCAGGCACAGGCGACAAGGCAGAGGAGGGAAGGAGGGGAGCCACATACCGGGGCGTCACCGCCGCGAGCCACAACGGCGTCGGCCTGGGCAAGCTTCAGCTTGATGGTGAAGAAGTGCAGCGCATCATCCAACGACTGGTAGGCGGTCTCCATGGTCTTGATGAGCGCATCGAACTTGGCCCAGTCCTTCTCGGCGCGGAAGTGAGCCAGCAGCTTCAGCTCGCCCTCCAGGACGGACTTGTACAGGTCGACCATCTTCTTGTTGGCCTCGGTGGCCGGATCGGCCGGCTTCCCGCGGGACAGCTGCTCCTCGAGGGCATCCGGCGTGGGAGTCACGGTCGGCGGCACGGCATACGACAGCTCCACCACGGTGGCGGCGTCCTCGTTGCCGGTCGGGCCGATGGAGCACTTGCCAATGAGCAGGTCGCCGGGAGACGCGGCCTTCGGCAGGGCCGACAGGGCCGGCGCACGGACGTACAGCGGCGTGCGGCGACGCGGCACCAGGTCCAGCGTGCGGATGGCACCTGCATCCCGGGCAGCATGGTCAGGCGCGCGCGAGAGAGAGAGAGAGAGAGAGAGATCACAACAAGGGGGGAACACAGTCAGCCAGGGAGTGGGTCAGAATGGGGCACACGTCGGGGAGGGGGAACAAGCATGCACGGCATACCCTCGCCAGTCATCGCCTTGTCCGGGGAGTTGAAAACCGACACGGACACCGGCTCCTTCAGACGGAAGTCCACTTGGCAGAGGAACTCGTTGAACTTCTCCAGCAGGTCCAGCTTGTCGTGCGACACGCACAGCTGCACCACGTACGACCCCTCGGCGAGGGAGACCGGAGTGGGCGTGTGCGCGTCGCTGTACTGGACCTTCTGCTTCTGGGAGTCGTAGACGTAGCACTGGCGCGACTCGACCGGCAGGTCGTAGAGCATATCATAGAACCCAGGGAAGGTCTGGCCCGGGCAAGTCGAACAAGGGGAAACGCCATCAGGGTGAGTTGAAAGGGGCCAGGAAGACACCCAACGGAAGGCACGAGCATAGGGGCAGAGAGAGAGAGGGGGGGGAGGAGAGAAGCGAGGCACAGAGGCCGGCAAAAGGCCCATGCACAGGGCGGAAGGAGCACGCACGATGACAGCCCCCAGGCCAGCCTGCTCGGCCGACACCTTCAGCGCATACTCCACGGTCAGGGCGAAGACCTGCTTGGCATCCCAAACGCGCTCGCGCTCGCCCAGGGCCGCCACCTTGCGGGACACCGGGCGCAGGGACTGCCGCACGGTGCCGAAGGAGGCCGACAGGGCCAGGGCACGCTCCGGCACCAGGGCCGAGGCCACATCGACTCGAGCAAAGTGCTCGGCCGGGCTGATGTTCAGGGTAGCACCGCCGGCGATGTTCCGATCGGAGGCGATGCCCGACCCGGCGGCCAGGAGGGCCACCGAGTGGAACCGGACCTCGTAGGTGAGGCTCGACCGGCCGGTGGACGTCCAGTAGTGCGAGAGGGCCAGCTCCAGGGTGTGGCCGGGAGCCACGGCGCGCGAGATGCGGGTTTCCTGCTCCGAGCCGATGATCATGAACTTGCGAAGCATGGTATTCAGGTGGTGCATGTTCGGCAGGCGCTGCATCATCTGCACGAAGTAGCGAGTGCTCTCCTCGGCATTGTTGCCTCGGAGGATGACATCCACATAGGTTGCGCCATCCGGGACCCGGATGAAGTGCCGGTGCACATCGCCCGGAGCAAAGGTCACCGTGGTGGCCGGCAGGACGCCGGTCTGCGGCAGGCCCGGGGCCACCTCCGGCACCGGCATCGGCATGACCACGGTCACCGGCACGCGGAAGAGCGGGCCGCGCTCCGGGTGTGCCGAGTCAAAGGCATGGATCTCGCCGTAGTGCACGCGACCGGGCTCCAGCTGGGCGCAGGCCACACGCGTCTCGAAGCCACGCCCGCCATGCGTCAGGAACAGATGCCCCGGGCATTGGATCCAGGAGGCGGTGGCCGACAGCAGGAGCTTCTGCTCCAGGTCGATGCGCACACGGTTGTTGGAGCTGACATTGCCATTCTCGTTGCGCACGTGGGGGCGGATCTGGGCACAGCGCGCCGGGGCATGCAGCGGGGACACCAGTCAGCGGACGAGCAGGGGAAGAGGGGCGGGGAGGCACGGGCAAATGGGAGTAGCGGTCGGGGACGCACCTGGACCGCGAGCTGGCGATTGTGCAGCGTGTCATGCGGCTCGCGCAGGTAGATGCCGCGCGCCATGGCGCCGCCATCCGGGACCATGACGCGGAAGTCGACGTCCTCATCCGGCAGAGCCTGGAACTTGTCCAGGTAGTCGAAGGCCCGGCACACCTGGAGCAGGCCGCTGCCATAGTCGAGCGGGGTGCCGCGGTTGACGCTGCGAGCGGTGTTCTCGATGGCCCGGCGGATGCGCGCATGCGAGTAGGGCATTCCCCGAGCCAGGAGCCGGCTCAGGAGCAGGGCAATCCCACCGCAGGCATTCGGCGAGGCCATGGAGGTGCCCTCCATCAGCTGGCGATTCTGCAGGCACCAGGTGGGCACGGCGGCGTACGCGCCGCCCGGGGCGCAGACCGTGATGCCGGTGGAGTTGTCCAGGCTGGCAGGGCCGAGCGGGGGGGGGGGGGGGGGGGGGCCGAGCAGGAGGGGGAACTGTCAGCAGCGAGAAAGGGGCACCGGCCGGCGAGAGCAAAGGGCCGCCCATGGCACTGGGCCACATGTCGGCGGGATGAGGCACAGGGGGGGGGGGGCGAGTGGGAGACGCACGCCGGTCCGCGAGAGGTCCAGCTGTAGGGCGTCTCGACGATGCCGTCGAGGTACGAGTGCGCCGAGTCCGCGAAGGACGGCGCCAGGTAGGCCCCAATGGCCAGGATGTGCCGGCTAATGGTGACCGGCGCGCCGAGGGTCGACAGAGCAGGGCCGCAGTTGCCGGCGGCCGCGATGAACAGGATGTTCTGCATCGGCGTGCCAGAGGGGCGGGCAGTGTGCGAATGGCAGGTGAGTGGAGGGCAGGCGCGAGCGAGATCGGATCGCGCATGAGGGGCCGAAAGACCGGCAGGGAGGTGGCCAGCGCGAGCAAGGCAGCCCCCTCGCCCGATGCCTGGCCCGCGAGCCGCATCCCCAGAGAGCCACACAGGAGGGGCCGGGGGAGCCGGCCCGGGAGACAGAAAGAAGCGCACCTTCTCCTCGACCAGCTTGGCCAGGATGTCGTGGAAGCGCCCGGAGCCGAAGACGCGCGCCGGCTCGCCGTAGCTCAAGTTGATCATATGGGCACCGCTGTTGGCCGCGTAGTAGAGACCACGCACCAGGGCGTTGTTGGTCTCGGTGGAGTCGAGGCGATCATCGCCGATCTTGACCGAGATGATCTGGCAGCCGGGGGCCACACCGTTGAGGCTCGGGTCATTGGGGTAGTGGGCGCCGATGATGCCGGCGACGTGGGACCCGTGCGAGCCGCAGGTGGTCACGATGTTGGTGACGCGGCCCTCATCGAAGATGTTGATGGCGTAGGACATCTGGTCGGCCTCGGCGAAGAAGCGCCCATACTTGCGCTCAGTGCGGAAGTTGGTGTACGCCTCGGCCTGGGTGAGGTTGCCCTCCTCCGAGACGTCGACCGCCGCGCGCCAGTGCTGGCCATCGAAGAAGGTAACCACATCTGGCGCGCGCGCGCGGGGGGGGGGGGGGGGGGGGGAGCAGGATCAATGTCAGCCGAGGGACGGCGGAGGCAGCAAGAAAGGCGGCACTCGACCACCGGGATGGGGCGCCGACGCCGACCGCGAACGCACCGTACACCGGGCCCAGGTCCTTGTACTGGGACTGGAGCTCCTTCAGCAGAGCCAGGCGCTGGGTGAGCTCCGCCCGGCGGAGGGCCTGCTCCTGGGGGCTGGAGGCCTGGCACGGGGGGGCGTCCTTGCTTTCGCCGTTGGCCGGCTGCTGCAGGGATGCCTCGAAGTCATTGAGAGCCACACGCGCCCGGGTCAGGAGGGTGTTCTGCTTGTTCTCCCACTCGGTGGCGCGCTCGGACTGCAGGCGCTTGACCAGCGGCTCGGGCAGGATATCAAACAGACGCTTGACACCCAGGCGAACCTCACCGTTGGGGATCTTCCACGCGGTGTTGAGCTTCAGTGTGCGGCCAGTGAGGCCGGTCACCTCGAGGGAGCCCTCCGCCTGCGGGGGGGGGGGGGGGGGGGGGGGGGGGGGGCTGTCTCTAGCTACAGGAAAAGGGGTCAGACCGGCTGGCGGATTGACAAAGAGGAGGGGGGGGGCGGCGAAGAAGCAGCCACATGCAGGGCAGATCCGTACATCGGGACGGGGAGGATGGCACGGCACACGGCCACCCTCCCTCCGCCCCTCCCCCCGTCGGGGCCCTGCCCGGGGGGGGGGGGGGGGAGGAAGAGGGAGGGTCATGTCCATGCGGCATGGTAAGGGATCGGAAAGGGGGAGGCAAGCAGGGCTGCGGGGAGCAGGAGCAAGACACGCACCAGCTTGGCAACATGCGTGGTGTCCACATCCCCGGCACCGGTGCAATCGACGACGTCCAGCACCTTGGGCTTGCCGTCGGTGGTGACCTGGAAGCCGTCGGCCGCCGGGTCGACACCGGTGTCGAAGACCGCCACGACGACCCCGCGGCCGTCGCTCTCGGGGAACTTCGTCATGAAAGCCAGCGCCTCGGTCTCCTGAGGTGTGGGGGGGGGGCGGAAGAGACAGGGGGAGCAGGAGGTTGTGCGCCCGCAAAGAGCGAGGAGTCGACCGGGGAGGGGAGACACACAAAAGCCAGGGTCAGCAAAATCCCACACACAGGGGGGGGGGAGGCATCGGGCTGGATGCGCGGCGCAGGAGGGAGAGCGAAACGGACCTGCTTCGGCAGGAGGCTGGCAGCGGGGAAGGGGGTGGTGGGGATGGCCGCCGCAGAGGCGGCCTCGCAAGAGGTCGAGGGGGTGTGCATGACCGGGGGCGCCCAGGAAGCCATCAGGAGCAACACAGCCGAGGGAGGGAAGAAACGGGGGGAGGGGGGGGGAAGGAAAAGGGAGAAGGGAATGCTACACAGGGGAAGGGGAGTCTGCTGGGGGGGGGCTTCGGGCAGGCCCCAGGCCACAACCACCAGGTGCCTCTTAGATGTGCTGTCCTTCCGGGCTTCCCGGGCCGGCGCTCTCATTGGCCTGGCAAACCGGGCAGATCGCCCGATTACCCGGCCCCGCTGGCCGGCTGTCCCGGCGGGAGGGGAAAGAACGCGGCTGCGCAATGGGCCCCAGGATGCGCGCGCGCGCCCAGCCCCACTAGGTACTAGTGTGGGCCTGGCCATCGGGGCTGTCTAGAGGAAGGCCCCCCCGCTGACTAAGTGGCCGGAAATGTCTCAGGGTGTACCGCCACACCGTCCCACACCCATCCTCCGCCCCGGCTGCCGGGCTCTCTCCCTCTCTCTCTCTGTCTCGCTCCCGGAAGAACACGGACGTCATCAGGGCGGGGGGGGGACAAGGGGCGGCGTTCAAACAACCGGCCTGGACATGTGACCGTCTCCGAATGACCCAGATCACGCCCCTCACTGCCAACTCACCGGGCATTGCCCCGCGCAGTGGCCAGTGCGCCGAGGGCGCGTCCAGGGCGCGCGCATTCCCCCGGCCGCGGCCCGCCTGGCCGCCCGGGCTGGGTTCTCCAGCCTCCGTCTGGCTCCGGCCGCCGCCCACCCCCCTGCCCCTCCCCGCCGGCCGCCGGCCGCCGTCCCGCGGCGACGACGGGCGTTCAAGCGCGGCCGGCCCTCACCCGCACGGGGCCCCCTGTGGCATCATCTAACGAGCCCTTCTCCCTTTCCTCTCCTCTACCCTCCCCCTCCTCCACCTCTACTCCGCTTCCACCATGTCCAAGTCTTTCATGTCCGGCCAGCGGCCCACCGCCCATTTCATTGTCCGTCGCTGTGGCTGGCTTTTGCCCCCTCCCCCTGCCTCCCCTCCTGCTGACTCCTGCTCGGGTATTGACTGCAACCCCCCTCTTCTGGCTGTCGTCGGGTTGACCGCCCCTCCCGCAGCCCGACATCGAGGCCTACATGTCCGGCAAGCAGACCGAGCCGACCGTGCGCGCTCTCGAGGGCCAGTACACCAAGTTCCGCTTCATGGAGAAGGCGCTGCTGCAGCGCAAGAGCGGCCTGGCCGGGCGTCTGCCCGAGCTGAACAAGGCCCTGTCGGCGCTGGTGCTGCTGGCGCGCGCGGCCGACCCCGATGTGGACCTCGTCGCCGAGGGCCTGGCCGACGCCGACATGCCGGAGGCCAGCTCCCAGGTGACCCCCCCGGGCGCGGAGACCGGGCACTTCGACATGCGCTTCGAGCTGGCCGAGACCCTGTATGCCGAGGGTCGCATCAAGACCGGCGCCGCCTTCGACACGGTGCACCTGTGGATCGGGTCCAATGTCATGGTGGCCTACCCGCCGAAGGAGGCCCTCGGCGTGCTGCGCCGCAACCGCGACCAGACCCTCACCATGATGGATGGCATTGATGATGACATTGCTCACATCCGCGAGCAGATCAACATTCTGCAGGTCAGTATCCTTGTTGTGCTTTTCTCGGCCGCCGTGGGGGAGGGGATTTCCCCCCTGGTCGGTCCTATCCGTGCTGTTCCCTTCTCTTTCCCCCTCCCCCGCTCCCGCGCAATCGGCGTGTGTGTGTGTGTGTGTGTGTGTGTGTGTGTGTATGTGTGGCAAAAGGGCGCACGGAGTCCGCGCGAACTACATTCATCCGGTGGCTCCGGCCCCCTTGCGCGCGCACACGCACACGCACACGCACACGACCGCCCTGCCCTTCCCCCTCCCATCGCTTGAACCATGTCTCCTCGCACGCGACGGTGTTTTCCTTGACTCCCTTTGCCCTCCCCCGCTCGAACCACAGACGTCGCACGTATCCACAACTGGGATGTCAAGCGCCGCGCTGCCCTCCGCCAGCAGGCCGCCAAGTAAGCCCCGCGTCCATGGGCCCTGGAGGACCCCTCGCCGGCATTCTGTGCTCGGCCAGGGGCGATCAGCCTGCGCGCACACACACCGACATACCGACACCTCCCCTCTCCCGCGCGCGACTTTTTTTTCGAGATCGCGCGGCGACCTTGCCAGGAGCCATCTCCCGGCCTCGCATCATGATCTCCCTCTCTCTCTCTCTATGCATAAAACAATACAACACCCCCCCCTCATCGCTCGCGCACTGGCATTTGGCCCGGGGAGGCGCGGGCGGGAAAGAAGCGACGGCGGCAGCGACCTTCAGAGGCCGGCCAGGATGGCGGCGAGGGCGCCGGGAGCGGGGCTCGGGTCCGGGAACGCTGGGCATTTCCGAGATGCTGCGAGGGCGGCCCCGGGCGCTCGCACGTGATGCCAACCCGGGCCTGACTACGCCGCCCCGTCCCCACTCATGTCGACGGCGCCCCGCCCTCCCCCCCCCGGGGGAAGGGCGGGTGCCTCCGCCAGCATCCCCCAGCTCTGTGGGGCGCGTTATCTCGCTGCCTGGGGGGCCGCCCACCCCCTTGGGAGGACGGCGGGCGACGTAGCGCCGAGTATGTTGTTCTTGGGGAGGGGCGGCGGCATCGACAGCGGGTGACAGACAGTGGATCAATCTGGAAGCCCGCCTGGGCCGCGGGCGCCCGGGGGGGAAAGGCGGAGCGAACTTACATACGCGCGCCAGCCGGGGGGGGGGGGAGTGCCAATTCACCGGCCGGCCGTCGGGCGGGACCGTGCCACAACAACGCCCTTTCCGCGCCGCCGCCGCCGCCGCCGCCCCCGGCCCGCCTTCCAGGGCAGGGGCAGCCCAGCGCCGGGGCGGTGCGGCCCGGCATGGGGGCTTAATTTTTCGGCCAGCCCCGGCGCGCCTCCCGGCCCGCGCCTCCCAGCACCCCCCTTCTCCCCTGTGCCCCCGCGCCACGCCCCCTCCCCCCCCTCCCTCCCCTGCCCCTCTCCTCCCCTTCTCTCCCCACCCCCTTGGGTGCTCTTTGCCGACCTTTCCGATTGT